CAACTATGAAACTATGATCCCTTCCCCGACACAAACGGTACATTGCGAAACAGGAAATTGTAGAGAGGAACAAGCCCTATAACATAGGATACAACATTTTAATGAACAGTGCTTTCCATAAAATCAATAAAATGAAAAATATATGATACGCATTTATTTGGCTTACGTGTAAGCAAAATAAATAAAGAAAATGGAAGTCACAAATTCTTTTAGTTTTAATACTGAACCATTGTCTACCACATTCAAATTAGCAGTTTCTTAGTGGTTTTAGAATCAGGTCCTTGGAGGAAGGCCTTACTATGCCTACCACTTTGCTTTACTTGTCTGCTTCTCTGGTGGTCGGTCTGCTTTTCTCTGATACAGAATTTTACTGCACTATGCGTCATACATTTTGGTATTCCTAGTACTGGCTCTGGATCAAGATAGGATTCCTATCAGTTTTGCTTTGCTAGTTTGTCGGATTTTTTATTGCCTTATTGGTTGCCACTATGGCCCTGCATCCAGAATAATTATCCATAGATTACCCACACCAATACACTCTATAAAAATACAGTAGAAAGTTTTGTCGTCCTTTTAAGTCAAACATTTACGAAGTTATAAAATATTTTTTGGTGATTAAAGTTTTCAAACAGATTCAAAAAAAAGTATCCTATCCTTTTGGTACCTTAACAAATATTTAAACAAGATGTTTTTTTTATGTTTTTTAGAACCTATCGGTTTTAAAGCACCAACATTCGCCACAGAATCGAAAGGTTTTATTCGAGTTTTCGACAAAGAAATAGGAAAAAGTTTTGCGTTACTTTGTCCAGCTCAAGGACTACCCGCACCAGTATTTAGGTATTTGTCTCTTTCGAAATGGTTGCATGAAAATCCTATCCTTGCATGATGTTTTTTTTCTAGAACCATTAGCAGGGGTAGCACCAAAAGCTAAAGACATCAGTATCTCGAGCTTAAATATATTGGTTAGAGTAGAGTCTATAGCCATACTCACTTGTATGGTACAAGGGTTTCCTACGCCAGTCTTCAGGTAAGAGTTTTGAAAAATAGTATCTCTGTTGAGATGTTAACTTTGTTAACTAATAAAGTATTATTTATGTCACTTATTGAAAAAATTTCGTTTAATTACAAACATTTCCTGAAATTTCTTCAAAAACGTTAAAAATCAAATAAATATATGAGCTAAAATATGAATCTTTATAAAATTTTTGGAAGACCTCTTTTCTTAAAGTTTGGAAAAAAATATAGACTGTGTCATTGACGTAAGCCAGGGTACCCAGAACTAATATAAATTTCCCATTTAAATATTCTAAAAAATAATTTCAGAACCTACAGGGAAGATAGCACCTAAACTTCCTGGTCAAAAATACGATGGTGGCAAAATATACCTTTCTCCTTCTAATTCAACTGTTGTGCTCACCTGCGACGTTGTAGGGTACCCAGTCCCAGTTTTTAGGTACTATTCTAACATTTATTTATTTAATAGAACCCACAAATAACATTCCTCCCAAATTGCTTGACCAGAAAGTCCGTTATACTTTGGTACTAACAAAAATAGACGATCCTGTCTATATTTTGTGCCCTGTGGTTGCGTACCCTGTTCCACTATATAGGTAGGTACTTCAAAATATAATATGGTTTTATTTTTTGTTTCTCAGAACCCACAAATGATATTCCTCCCAAATTGCTTGACCAGAAAGTCCGTTATACTTTGGTACTAACAAAAATAGACGATCCTGTCTATATTTTGTGCCCTGTGGTTGCGTACCCTGTTCCACTATATAGGTAGGTACTTCAAAATATAATATGGTTTTATTTTTTGTTTCTCAGAACCCACAAATGATATTCCTCCCAAATTGCTTGACCAGAAAGTCCGTTATACTTTGGTACTAACAAAAATAGACGATCCTGTCTATATTTTGTGCCCTGTGGTTGCGTACCCTGTTCCACTATATAGGTAGGTACTTCAAAATATAATATGGTTTTATCTTTTGTTTCTCAGAACCCACAAATGATATTCCTCCCAAATTGCTTGACCAGAAAGCCCGTTATACTTTGGTACTAACAAAAATAGACGATCCTGTGTATATTTTGTGCCCTGTGGTTGCGTACCCTGTCCCACTATACCGGTAGGTACTTCAAAATATAAAATATGGTTTTATTTTTTTTCTCTCAGAACCAACAAATAATGTTTCTCCTAAAAAAGTCGGTGAAGAATTTGGAGGTTGGAGAATACTGAATGTTGGAACTAACGGTACTGCTTGGTTGACCTGTCAAGTTAGCGGGTTCCCTGTTCCAAAATTTCTGTAAGTTTTTTTCAGGGTTACACATGACTCTTAGGATCAAAGATATAACAGTTCTTCAGAACTTAATTTTAAGCGTTTGTCAATAAATACATAACCTTTATCAGATGTTATAAGCTTTTTACAATTCTGTAGGAGTTATACCCTATCCCAACTAGGTACTCACTTGGTTTAATTCTGAAGTTCAGAAAATTTATTTCAGAACCAACTAATAATGTAAGTCCCAAAAAAGACTTGGCAAAGTTTGAGGGATGGCAAGTATTAAGAGTTGATCGGAACGGTACTGCCTGGCTTACTTGTCAAGTTACTGGATATCCGGTACCACGATATCTGTAAGTAGATGTATTTCCCAGGTCCATTTTGTGTTTTAATTAATATATGTGGCGTTTTCTCTTGAAGACCCTCATCTACTACCACTTGAGTTTATTTTATCTCAGATTTTGTTTCATCCTCAGTACCCAACTTTTTGAAATTTTGAGTTTTCCCGAGATTTTTTATACAGGGTGGACCGAACCGTATTCCGGAAACTTCAGCAGCATATTCTGTTGATAAAAATAAGTAAAAAAGTTCATATAAATGTATGTCCTAAATTGCTTAGTTTTGGAGATACAGGGTGTAGAAGTTTGATTTTTATTTTGATTTCTTCCAAATAATTTCTGAAGTAACGTCAATATTTGGATGAAAATTGGTATCTGGGAGTTTTTTAACATGAGAAATTTGATTTTGATGTCAATATAACTCCTATTTGTAGGGGGCGCCACCTACATGTGTTTTAACTGTTTTGAAGAGTAATAACTTTTCGTCCATACCTGGTATAAAACTACTGAGTGAAAAAATACACATTTCCGTGATTTTTTACGTGAAAAATGTCTGTGTGTTGTCGCACAAAAACATTTCAAATTTATGATTTCAGTCTAATAACTATTTAGTCAACGTGTTTAATTTATGTCAATGATGACAGGTATTGATAATTTCGATTCCAAATATCTCGAGAACCCTTACCCGTAGCGATTTTTACCAAGATATCTTTTTTACGTAAAAAAAGTCGTAAATGTATATTTTTTTACTCACTAGTTTTATACAGGTACGAACGAAAAGTTATTACTCTTCAAACAAGTTAAAAAATATCTAGGTGGCGCCCTCTACAATTAGGAGTCATAATGACATCAAAATCAAATTTCTCATGTCAAAAAACTCCCAGACAACTGTTTTTTATCTAAATATTGACGTTATTTCAGAAATTATTTAGAAAAAATCGAAATAAATATGAAACTTCTACATCCTGTATCTCCGAAACTAAGCATTTTAGAACGTACGTTTATATGAACATTTTTACTTATTTTTATCTGCAGAGTATGCTGCCGAAGTTTCCGGAATACAGTTCGGACCACCCTGTATTAATCTTTTTGTTATACATTTTTCGACAGTTATACTCCGTGTAATATACTATTTTTGCCCCTATTCCAACAAATATTACTGATTCTTGAAATGAAACTTCTTCTCTCTACACGCTGGATGGGGGGATTAAACATTCAAGGCCGTGACACACGAAGCGAGACAGTCTACGGGTTAGAAATACGTAGAGACGCGACGTGTTTTTGTGAGCAGTCCAGAAATATTGATATTTTCATATTAATTTTGTGAAAGTGAATCAAATCATTCATAAATTTTTCATTTTACACGTATAAAACTATTTGTTACACGTAAATTTTTTTTTAATTTATTACTTTTTGAACACTTCACTTTTTCAAACATGTCCTTCAAATCCTTCAATTTAATAGCTGTTATGTCTGTCAAACGACAAGATCCTTGATAGTGATAGATGTGTCTGTCATTTTAATTTCAAAGTAGTTTATTTTATTTAAAAAAAAATAAGTTGGTACAACTGGAACACATAGCAGGAAATTAATATATTTAAAATTTGATTGATAAGTGATTACTTCAAAATATTGTGAAAAAGAAAACTGTATAAAAGCCAAGCCTCAAAAATCCAAAGTCGAGTTCATATGCATCGGCGTCCGTTTATCGTTCCGTCAAACCAATAAAATTGAAATATGATCTCTCATTTTTGAAATAAACTAATAAAACTGGTTAAAAACAACAAGAGACGACGTATGACGGATTTATATTTAAACCCATCCATAGTTAACTTAAAATATAGAAACTTTTTTTCGTAAAATAAATAGATTGGTATTGGACGTCATTTGCTTTTCTTCTGTCATCGTCTGTCGAAATCTTACCTGAGAAAAAAAGGAGAGTATAGTAAGAAGTTTCACTTCAAATATTATGCGCATACAGCATGATAGAAAGAATACAAAGTATGATATTGCGCAGGTTGGTCACTACGTCACAGGTGATAAACGGCACCATTGGTCGGCAAGCTCCGCGCGTCAGTTTCAAATTGTCAAACAGTTGACATAATAAATGTGAAAATAATTTTTCAAATGTCAAGCTCGATGATTTGACATAACTTTTGGGGGTTATGTCTTAATTCTGCCCTATTTTAGGTCTTTTTTTATTAGTGGCAATTGAATGACATGGATATTTTTTGTATGGCGATTGACGTCACAGGTGGCATGCGCAAACTTAACGAAATTGTAGCCGCTATCGATCATACCTTGTTTTCTTTGTACCATGCGCCTACAGCACACACCCATTTTTTTTAAAGCGAATTATTATTTTTGCATTGTTTCAACATAGAACCCACCAATAACGTCCCACCTAAAAAAGACGGCAAAAAGTTTGAAGGATGGGAAATTTTGTTAGTACCACAAAGCGGTACTGCCTGGTTAACCTGTCAAGTAACAGCTTTCCCAGCACCACGATACTCGTAAGTAATTTTTCTTCCGAACATCAGATTACTTCAAGCAAGGGTACTCATCTCCGAACATCTCTATAACTTATTGGTGTTTTATACGTAGTATTCTAATATCTTAGAACCGACAAATAACGTACCACCAAAGAAAGACGGTGAGAGATTTGAAGGCTGGAAAGTCACGTTCGTACCTCTCAATTCGATTGCTTGGCTTACATGTCAAATAACCGGATATCCAGTACCCAAGTACTTGTAAGTTCTTTATTTTACTCTTAAGGCTACAGGTAATGTATGAATTTGCATGCCATTCATGGTTAGAAGTAGAAAACACTTTAAAATTGCGTTTGGATACCAATCTGGGGTTTCTAGTACCATTTTGCTTCATCATTTTAATGTTTAGAATACTTTAAAGGAAGCTTGGCTAAGGTTTCTTAAGTAAATTCCATTTTAAGTAGCCAATCTTCCTTAACAGACATAAATCAATTTATATGGTTATTTTATAAAAAAAAAATCTATAATATTAATCGAAAGTTAACTACATTTTATGAATATGGTAGATAAGAATTCAGTAATTAAATTTTTAATATTTATTGTCTTTATTTTCTCTTATCTCCAACATGTTTCAGAGTGACTAATGAGTGGAATTACTCAAATATTTTTTAACTTTCTATGCTTAATTTTGACAAGTCTATAACTTTTTTCCTTTGCGAATATTTTCGAAATCTGTTTGGTCTCTTTCTTTCATCTGGAAAAATGGAAAAAAAGGAAATTGGAAATTTTACTTTATCAGAAAAAGTTACCATAGTTATTAAATACTATAATCAACAAACCCTGAAAAAATGAGCTTAGAATCAATAAACCTGAAAAAGTTACTGAGTGGACATGTCGATGATTATGTCGATTTGATGATTTTTTGAGCAAAAAGTATGAGGAATTGTTGATTAAAGTATTTAATTGCGTCCTCTTTTCTTGAGTTATAACTCATCATAAAGTCTCAGGGCTTTGATGTTGTGGGTATTATTATTGCTCGGTACACTGAAAGTTTCGTTTTTGTGCTCAAGTCATGATTGTAGAAAACCCTGTCTTTTAATTTCCATCCAAGTCCCAAAGTCTCATGTCCAGGAATCCTCAGTGTTCCACATTTCTTGTAATTGCTGTAATGTTTTTGCAACTAGAGTGCAATTTAAGCATCTCTAGGTATTCATTGACCAACTTCGAATTGATGCTATTACTTCCTATCCAAGATAAGTTGTACGCATCTTTCGATAGCGCGAATTTCTGCCTGATTGCAGATGAAAGACCAATGAAAAAATGACCAAATCTTTTTCGAAAAATTTCGCAGAGAAAGAAAGTTATAGAGTCATCATAATAATTATGATGTTACTTAATTATTAAGTAACAAAGAAAGTTACAAAATTATTTCAAAAATTGCATTCATTTGTGGGATAGTCACTAGATTTTAAAGTTATTCAATGGGTATATCAATATTTTAAGAAAAAAAAATTAAAGGTTGCAGATTGTCTTGATCTTTATACACAGTTTGCTGAAAATGCTGTTAGTATTTGCAATAAAAATGTTTTGTTTTTAATTCTTCACTCTTTCCAATGATGTTTCGAGTTGTGTTGAGTTGTTGGCAACACGTCAAATAATCAGAAACTCAAGTTATTGAGGAAGAGCTTCATTGAAAAAACTAGCATAAATTTAAAAAAGCAGGGTTCATTTCAAGTGAAATTTGCAACAATCTTGCAAAAAATAATAATGAGTATTAATGTTACAATCCTTAGTGATCAATAGCCATTAATGTTAAAGTTGGAAAAAAAAAATTCGAAAACTTTTATAGTTTCCAGCATTAAATATTTCACACAGAATTGCAAAATACTGTAAAATAAAATAAAAGTATATCAGAATTTCTTAGTGTAGCTTATTATTAAAATAACCATTTACTTTGGATGGCTGTTTCGATAATTTTGTCTTCCCCTAATATAATTAAGTTCTTAATTTTGTATTGGTTCGTTTCAGAACCTACAAATAATTTACCTCCAAAACTCGTCGGGGAACCCATCCCATGGAGACTAGCTACTTTTCCACAACACACGGATGGGGTTATCCTGTGCCCCGTTGTTGGTTATCCAAACCCTATTTTTAAGTAAGTTTTTGTAGATGAATATAAAGTACGCTTTTGCTTGCTTAACATATACATTCGAGCATAATCAGATCTAGCTTTTCTTGCAAATAATGTCTACCAAAAATTATAACATATTGCTTCGCTTTTTTTGCTTGATGTTCCTCATTAAATCATTTTTTTTAGACCAAATGGTTAATAGTATCTAATACACAAGCTAAAAAGTCTGAAAAATTGACCTCTCACTTATTTTTTCCTAAAAAAACATATATTTATCAATAATATTTGTTTCATAAACGAATGGAGTCTACTGAAAAAAAAAACAACAGACTAAACTAGAGACAAACCAAAGAAGAATCTTAATTTAAATCGAAGATTTATGATTTCTAAGAGTAATTTTAATAAGCACTAAGCACTATTCACTTAGATGATATCTGGAAAAAATGGATCAAGATTCAAGATGGAAGTTAATCACCGCGACGACGTTATAAATCTATTGTGTCCCCTTTTTCTGAGTCATTATCATACAGTCTCAGGGGTTTGACAAAATCCAGTATTTGGGACGGTTTTACAGAGGTTAGTTCTCCATCTCCGATAGCACTCATACCAAAGTTTATAGCACGAATGGTTGTCGTCTCGGCGCACTCAGTGATGAGGTTTTTAGGTGTTTCCCATTTTCCCCACAGAATCTGCATTGGCCGTTGTTTTTTGCTTCAATCTACTGAAGTGTTCATTGAGGAGACAGCGTCCTGTTGGACCCCGTGACAATCCGAGGATTGTTCTTACTTAAATCAAGGAAAATATTTGATTTTTCTCGGTTGCAAGTCCTGAGAAATTTCTTCGAGTGTCTTGGACCGTTGAAGAATTCCCATTCCAGGTTACGGATCGAGTCTTGCAGGTTCTTCAGTTTGGAGTTTTAAGTTGGTTTCCACTTCGGAAGCAGAAAAGTTCTGGTTCAGTTAGTGGAGTGTTTTCTCCTTTTGTAGCTAGATGATTTGATTTAGGAGGACTTTATTTTCTTTGTCTATTATTATTTAATTTATATTAATGATAATTTCACAGTCATTAGTTCATTTCTGCAAAATACATACATACAGCCGTTACTCGCTGAAGAGTATTCGACAATAAAGAAGATGGTCACGCAAGCCGTTTTCTTTCATGAGCTTTTCTGTGACTGAAAAGCCCGATACGCGATGTTATCTGCCTACCGCACTCCGGACATTCAAAAATCTCATTGCTTTGTTGCCTCTTTTTGGTTGTCGCTGTTAACTGAGTTTACAACTCTTCTCCATTGAGTTCTATCGTGAGCAGCTTTTTCCCACTCATTCTGCATGTTAATGCCCTTTAAGTTTTCGTGGAAAATGTCCTTGTACCTTTTCAGTTGTCCACCCGGCCTCCTCTTACCGCCTACAAGCTCACCGTAAAGCAGAGATTTTGGTATGCGGTTTTCTTGCATTCTGCATATGTGACCAGCACATCTTAATCGGGATTTTGTGACCATGACTTCAATACTCTCGCTGTTAGCTTTTTCAAGGACCGATACGTTTAAGACATGATGGAATCACCGGATTCTTAAGAGTTGTGTAAGGTGTCTCTGTTGCAACTTGTTTAATGCGTTCATGTGTCGGCGGTAGGGCACTCAGGTTTCAATCCTATATAACATGGTGGGGATTATAATTGCTCGGTACACTGCAAGTTTTGTTTTTGTAGTCAAGTCATGATTGTAGAAGACTCTGTCTTTTAATTTCCAGAATACTCTTGAGGCGCTACTAATCCTGCGCTGAATTTCAGAGTCAATATTGGCCTTTTCCGAAATCAAACTGCCAAGGTAATTCAATTCCGGTACATATTCCAATAGTTCTTCTCCAATTTTTATAGCATTGTTGTGATCTTCCGGGGGAGTGCACATGATTTTAGTTTTGTCGATGTTTAGCTTAAGACCCAGAGCCTCGTATGCCCAGATATATGTGTTCAACATTTCTTGCAATTGTTGTACCGTGTTTGCAACTAGAGCGCAGTCGTCAGCGTATTGAAGTTCTGTGATAAATTTTGTACGTGTTTTTGCCCTGAGTCTTTTTATGTTGAACAAACCGCCGTCATATTTGTATCTAATGCCCAAACCTCTCTCCTGCAGTTTGCTGTCCACTATAATTGAGAGCGCTGCCATGAATATGTTGAATAGGAGAGGCACTAAGACACACCCCTGCCTAACTCCTGTATTTGTTAGGAATGGGTCGCTCAGTGATCCATGATATGACACTCTTGACTTGTTGTTATGGAGGCTTTTACACACTGTAAGAAATTTGTTGGGTACTCCGAACTTTTTCATAATTGCCCAAAGCGCATCTCTGTTCACAGAGTCGAAGGCTTTTGTTAGATCGATGAATGCAACATAAAATTTAGACTCTGCAAAAATGCTTTGTTTGGCCAAACATTTTTTTATATTGTTATTGGTGTTGAAAAAAAGAGTCCTATGTTCTAGGCCCATATGAGCTCATTATTATAAGTCTCTCTCATGATGGTGTTTTAGCTTTCAAGATCAGCATTTTTTGGAAATGAGCAGAAATATAATGCTCTCATGCGTTGCTCTCAAGACTATGTGTATAGTTGATCATCTCATCATATAACCTATACTATGTCTGCTCATCTCCTCAGCTGGTGAGATTTTGTCTAGATGACAGTGGAATTTCCAAATTCCTATGAGGACTCTTAAAATATATGTTTATTAACTTTATTTTCATTTGCTCAAGGCATAATGCATGCTCTAGACTCTCTTGTAGAGTCTTTTTTCCTTGTCCTATGGATAAGAACTGGTGTTTAGTCCAGTTTTTGATTTCCCTTATGATGATCTATTTTACAAATCCCAACGTTTTGAAAAAAGTAGTAGTGAAAATATAGCAATATATTGAGCAGACGCATTGGCTAGAAAACTCATAGCAGAATTTATAGGATTTAGTAAGTAATAATTTTGGATATTAGTAGTTAAATTATTATAGGTTATTTTATATTTCTTTTTTTTTAAATTTTAACAAAGATTATTCCTTAACCCACCAATTACATTGCCGTTATATAGTACGACTATCCTATCCCATAGTTCAGGTTCTGTTATTGGTATCTCATTTTTTAAATCCATTTTTAAAACAGAGCCTACTAGTAACGTGGCACCAAAATCTTCAGTTCGAAAATATGGCGGAAATATCTATCAAGAAGTCTCACTGAAAAACGACATTATAATGCCCTGTGAAGTTTCTGGGTTCCCCGTTCCCAAATATAGGTAAATAAAATTATCCTTTTTTAAATGTATTTCTGTTAGAACCCACAAATAACGTTGCACCTAAATCTTCTGGTCGTAAGATCGATGGGAGTATTGTGCTGGAAGTACCATCTACGAAGGACATTGTTATATCATGTGATGTAACAGGATACCCTGTTCCAAAATTCAAGTAAGTACTGCTGTAGATTTGTAATAGAGAATCTTCAATGAAGGTGTTGTGATTAAAAATAAAATCCAATGTTGTAAGTACAAATATTTAAGGTAGTCAACAAATTGTACATATTGTAGTGTCTTTTCTTTGTAATTTTTGGCTCAGGAACTATAATAAAAAGATTTACATCAAACTTCTGATTTTCCTCGAAAAAATAGCTTCTTCCGATTAGGCTTTCTTTTTGGTGTCTACTGTTTTTAATATGTTTTTGGTTGTGTAGGATAATTGGGATATTATTTGATGAATATACAGGGTCGCTGTTATGTATGGAAACGATCGATTATCAGGTAAAATATACGAGGTACCGCAAAAAGTTAAATACAAAAATTATAGGGTTATTAAATGTCTTTGGCGAGTAATAAATGTATACAGGGTCGGTCGTAAAGTCGTGGCACATTAAAGTTTCATTTTTTTTAAATGGAATTGCATATTTCAATTCTTCCTTCAATTCTAAGAAAAAATCGAAATACACAATGTACCTAAAACCAACAAAAATTTTGTAATTTCCAGACTTGATATAATCTCATTTTATACATCTATAAATGCTAACTTGAGAACTAATGTCAAATATTATAAAGTATCACAGTTTCGACAGAATCGCATCGTTAAATGAAACTGAACATATCGAAATTAATTAAATTAAATTGTTAAAGTGATATTTTCAAAAGTCAATAACTCGGAAACGGTTCGTTTGAGGTACATTGTGTCTATCTCGATTTTTGCTTAGAATTGAAGGAAGAATTGAAATACGCAGTAATATACAGGGGGTTCTATTTAAAAATATAAAACTTTTTTGTGTCACGACTTTATGACCGATCCTGTATACTTAAAATTATTACTCGCTAATAGATATTTAAAAATGCTATAACTTTTGTATTTAACTTTTTGCGGTACCTCCTATATTTTACCTAATAATCGATCGTTTTCATACATAACAGCGACCCTGTATTTCGAAAAGTTTTCGACAAATTCTAGAAATTTTTTATACTTCTTGTATAGCAATGTTGGTTAGCTTGACACTATTCCAACTTCTGTAAATATTTAAAAGATTAAGAACTTATTTAAAGGTTAACTCTTAAAAGCTTAATGATTGGTGAGTAAATGCAGGTAATTTTTGTGTTGTTCTATGAAACATTCTTTTGTAATGTAGATAGAGTAATCCTTGTATCCCTTCAATGTTGCCTCTTTCAAATAGTTCCATATTTCTTCTTCAAAAACCTACTAAGCAAGTGGTACCCCTTTACAACATTCTGAACACATCTTTATGGGTTTCTTTCCAGAACCAACTGGATCTGTTGGACCTCGTGTCAGCTCTAGAACTATCGATATCCAAACAAAGGCTTTAAACGAAACTGCCGTAGCTTTGTGCCCCGCTCAAGCTTTCCCAGTACCGACATTTAGGTAAAAAATGTATCCCATCTCGAATTTTTATTCCATTCCTGCTATTTTTTTGTTGTTCATAAACTAAACCAATTTTCTCTTGTTTCAGGTGGTACAAGTTCATCGAGGGTACTTCTAGAAAACAAGCTGTGGCGCTGGACGATCGAGTGAAGCAAGTTGCCGGTACGCTGATCATTAGAGAAGCAAAGGTTGATGATTCGGGGAAGTACTTGTGCGTGGTGAATAACTCTGTTGGAGGAGAGAGTGTGGAGACGGTACTCACAGTTACTGCACCATTGAAAGCGAGTATCGAGCCGAAAGTACAGACTGTAGATTTTGGAAGGCCCGCTGTGTTTACCTGCAAATTGGAAGGTATGAGATTAATCAAGTTTTTGAAGCACTTAAAGTGCGATTTCGGTGGTGCTGCTCGAGCTGCGCGACTAGAGACGCTGGTCGCGGCAGCTGTAGCCGCAGTTCTAGGTAGCCGTTGACTGCGGACTGTAGCATTTTTGTCATTTTAAATTTCGTGGGGTTTATTAAAAATTTGGATTACGACGATTTGATAACATTAATTTTATTAGAAGAAGAGGAATATGAAGAAGAATTTTACTAAATGTTATCTAGAAAAAGGTGTAAATTAGATGAAATGTTCAAAAGGCGACGCGAGGAAGGGTATTTCCATTTTTTTAATTCTTTGTCGACCTTTTTCCAACAATTTTCTTTAATAACAAAATTTTTGTAATTTTTGTTTTCATAATTATAAATTACGGGATATTTTTGTATTTCGTTGATTAAATTTCATTGTCATTTGACGTAAATGGCGCCATTTTTTGCCCTAATCAACTACGATTTCAGCCGCTCGACTGCTTCGCGAGCAGTCGAACAGCAGCTCGGTCAGTCGCAGCTTAGTCGCGCTGCGCAAGCCAAATTGGTTCCATTTGAAACTGTACAAACATGATACAAAGAATACAAGGTATGATATTGCGCAGGTTGATCACTACGTCACAGGTGATAAACGGCACCATTGGTCGGCAAGCTCCGCGCGCCAATTTCAAATTTTCAAACAGATGACAATAAATATAATTTGAAATAATTTTTCAAATGTCAAGCTCGATGATTTGACATAACTTTTGGGGTTATGTCCTGATTCTTCCTTATTTTATGTCTTTTTTATTAGTGGCAATTGAACAATATAATTTTTGTACCATGTACCATGCTGTACAAACCAGTGCAGCGGCTGGAGACGCAGCTGCTAGCCGCCGCAGCCAGCCGCGGCACCGAAATCGCACCTTTACTATGCCGTAAAATGCTTCTATTCTTTAATGCCACTGCCTGAATAATAGTATATTGTTTTATTACGAGAAAAAGTGATACTTTTTGTGGCGATGGTGTACGTTTGACTGACGTCACAGGTTGTGACATAAAAATTACATTTTTAATCCGAATAGAACATGCTATTTTTTTCAAACGTCACAAATAATTTTTTTAAAGTAATATATTTTAAGTAATTTTTATACAGGGTGGTCCGAGCTGTATTCCGGAAACTTCGGCAGCATATTCTGCAGATAAAAATAAGTAAAAAAGTTCGTATAAACATATGTCCTAAAATACGACGTTTCGGAGATACAGGGTGTAGAAGTTCCATTTTTATTTCGATTTTTCCAAATAATTTCTGAAGTAACGTCAATATTTGGATAAAAATTAGCGTCTGTCAGTTTTTTGGCTTGAGAAATTTGATTTTGATGTCAATATGACTACTAGTAGTAGAGGGCTTTTTTTTATTACTCTTCAAAACAGTTAAAACACATCTAGGTGGCGCCCCTTGCAGTCATATTGACATCAAAATCAAATTTCACATGTCACAAAACTTCCAGACACCAATTTTCATCCAAATATTGACGTTACTTCAAAAATTATTTGGAAAAAATCGAAATAAAAATGAAACTTCTATATCCTGTATCTCCGAAACTAAGCATTCTAAGACATAAATTTATAAGAATTTTTTTTTATCTGCAGAATATGCTGCCGAAGTTTCCGGAATACAATTCGGACCACCCTGTATATTTGTACTTTTGTGCCTAGACGTAAAAGTGGTTTACTTTTATACCTAGGCGTTAAAATTATCTTTTTATATTGTCAATCACGTCGCAAAAATTATTACTTCTGTGACGTTGAAAAAAAAATGTTTCTACCCATAGATATACAGACTTCTTAGCTTTATTCAGAACCTCAAAATTTGTGGAATAAATTAGTGGTTCAATTGCCATAGTTTTTTGTTCCTTTAATTTCAGTGTAAGCATTCAGAACGTAAAAATTAGTGGTAATAATTTTCAAGCTTCGTTTAGAACCTCTCAATTAGTGGTTTCAATTACACTTTATATTTTTCAGTTAACTATCATTTAGCTTATAAAACAATCAACTTTCGATTTCTAACCACAATTTCTCTTGATCGGAGATAATCAAAGGCCAAAATAATATTTCTCGCAAGTTTTGGAAATTATAATTAGTGGAAAAGTTAAAAGTTTGATAACTTTTTCTACTAATTGAAAATGTCTACATTGTCTACCACTAATTTTGACGTTCTAAAAGCTTACGTTGAAATTAAAGGAACACACTTCTACGCTAATTGAAACCACTAATTTATTTCACTAATTGCGAGGTTCTGAATGAATCTACTAATGAATAATTAGTAGACAAAGTTAACAAAACTCTGACAGTTTGTTTTTGTGTCATTATGTTATAGTATATTAAACAACGAGTTTCGAAAACGACGTTTTGCACACGAGTTCGACAGTTTGTTGGCTCGAGCCGCAGGCAAGAGCCACAAGTCGAACGAGTGTACAAAGGAGTTTTCGAACGACTACAAATTAGCAGCAGACTCACTCAATTTTTGCCAGTTTTGTAAAATAATTTGTGATGTAAATTTCATTGGAGGTTAAAAAAAATTGGCACATGTCGTGTGCAAAATGACACATGTCGTGCGCTAAATTCTTAGCACACAACAGCTTGCAAAACGCCAATTTCAGATCGAGTTTTCCGTGTGTCAAACTGCATTTTCTAGGCTATAGTCGTAGAAAAATAATGTTTCATTATCCAGGTAATCCAATCAAGACCATCTCCTGGATGAAAGACGGCAACAAGATCGACCATACCGACGCAGTGCTCAAAATCGACGCCGTACGAAAAGAAGACAAGGGCATGTACCAGTGTTTCATACGCAACGACCAGGAAAGTGCCGAGGCCACAGCCGAATTGAAGCTTGGCGGCAGATTCGAACCGCCCCAAATCCGCCACGCCTTCAACGAGGAAACCGTGCAGCCGGGAAACTCCGTTTTCCTCAAGTGTATCGCCAGTGGAAACCCCACTCCGGAAATTAGCTGGGAATTGTACGGGAGGAGATTGTCCAACAGTGAAAGGTGCGTGAAGAAAGTTATGTTTTTTGTGTGTGTTGCTCTTAAAAGGTATATTCTGCAGATAAAAATAAATAAAAAAAGTTCATATAAATACACTCACCGGCAAAAAAAAACGGCCACTAAAAACTAGTCCCAATTTCAAAGTTGGATTTCTCGCGAACAACTCATTAGATTTTGATGATTGCGAAGCATTTTTCCGAGACGTTCGTTTTAAAACAGCATATCTCCAATACAAAAAGAGATAATGTGGTGATTAAAAAAACAAAATGCTCACAAAAGATGAGGCTACAATGTGATTTAATTTAGCAATAGCTACTACCGCTGCATCACCCTACAGGGTGTTACAAAGTTCGGACAAAAAACTTCGTCTTATTGTTGTACCCTGTATTTGCTCAAAATAAATTCGGAATAAACATTTCTGATATAGCATCTGTTAAAAAGGAATTAATTTACAATCTTTAAAAAAATCTTCAAAATCTAATGAGTGGTTCGCGAGAAATCCAAGTTTGAAATTTGGTCAAGTTTTTAGTGGACGGTTTTTTTTGCCGGTGAGTTTATATGTCCTCGAATGCTTAGTTTCGGAGATAGAGGGTGTACAGTTCGTCTGCTGGATCTGTGTCTATGAAAGGAATGCGGACAAAAAACGTTTAAATAAACAGCAATATATTTTATACGTCGACTTGACGAGTACGTCACGGCAAATCGCTCCGCCCACTCATTTCATTGGCTACTTGCAAATTTGTCGAATTTTTATTGATGGGACGCGTCGTCTAATTTTTTTTTTCGAAAAACATCGAGAGAATATCGTTTCCCCTCTCACGGATACCCCGTAGCCTCAGAACGGACAGAATAATAATTAATAATAATAATAAAATAATTTCTGAAGTAACATCAATATTCGGATAAAAATTAGTGTCTGGGAGTTTTTTTTACATGAGAAATTTGATTTTGATGTCAATATGACTCTTACTTGTAGAGGGCGCCACTTACATATTTCTTTAACTGGTTTGAAGAGTCAGAAGTTTTCCTCCGTACCTGTATAAAAGTATTGTGTAAAAAATATACATTTACGACATTTTTTACGTAAAAAAGGTCTCTTGGTAAAAATCGCTACGAGTAATGGTTCTCGAGATATTTTGAATCGAAATTATTAATACCTGTCATCATTGACATAAATTAAATATCTCTCCAAAAAAGCTTTTATGGGTATTTCGCCACTGCACTGCAAGAAAATCTACAAAATAAAATAGTTATTTTTTGTAAACACTTCTGCGTTAAACCTAAACGGACACTGCTTGTCAGAAGTTATGTTTACAGTTATACAAATTTGCCTAACAAAGAAAAAAAATCTAGACCCTTAAATGTTAGAATTAAAGAACATAAAGATTATTTAAGAAAGGGAGATTTTCACAACTCTAAGATTTGTCAGCATTCATGGAACACAGGGCACAGAATAAAATTTAATAACCCCAAAATTATAATAAAAGAAGCGATAGCCTCTAAAAGAAAAATAAAAGAGGCTTTTTTAATTCAATCTAATAAAAATAAATGTATTTCTCATGCATCTGTAGATCTTAGTATTGTATGGCAATCGCTTCTTTGATTTTAAAGAACATAACATAAATAAACATAACATACGTAAAAATTAAAAATAATCATACAGAAAGTTTGGGGCTTTTTGGTTTTACCTTATTAAGTAATTATTGTTATCAGGTAGTAATTGTTAACTTTGAAGTTTAACTTGATATAATGTCATTTTAACAGAACGTCAACGGTTTCTTGTAGACGTATCTGTTTTAAAAAAAGTAAAGTGTTCTCGAATAGCTGAATTTAAATATTTTAAATAGTTTTTTTCTTATTCTTTGTATTTTTTTTTGCTTCCGACGACGGAAAGAGATAAACTTTCCAAAACGTTAAGCATTTTTTCCTTTGTTAGGCAAATTTGTATAACTGTAAACATAACTTCTGACAAGCAGTGTTTATTTAGGTTTAACGCAGAAATGTTTACAAAAAATAACTATTTTATTTTGTAGATTTTCTTGCAGTGCAGTGGCGAAATACCCATAAATGATTTTTTTGGAGAGAATATATTTTAAATTAAATACTCGTCTCAATTGCAGATACCAGATTGGGCAATACGTCACTGTCAATGGCGACGTAGTATCGCACTTGAACGTCACCGGAATTCACACCAACGACGGGGGATTGTACCGATGCGTGGCCAGTTCGAAAGTGGGCAGCGCAGACCATTCTGCGCGCATCAACGTCTACGGGCTACCGTTTGTCAGATCTATGGAAAAACAGTCTATCGTAGCTGGGGGAACTTTGATAGTCCATTGTCCTTTTGCTGGACATCCGGTGGAGACAGTAGTCTGGGAAAGAGGTAAGTGAAACTGAATTTTATATAATGTTTTATGATATAAGTTAAAGTAATTATGTCATTTTCCTTTAGATCTAGAAGACACTCTTTTTAGCTTTTTAGTGTCAAGAAATTAAAAAGTCTTTGCTTGTTTTTGGTCTAAGCTTGATTAGGGTTTGACTTGAACAACTTTATAATGACAAATTTCATCTTTTATATGACTTATCCATGGATAAATAAAACAAGTTTTGATTGGAAAGTGCCCATAAGGACAATGTAAACACTATTTGGCGCTATTCTTGCAACGTTCGCGACCCAAAACTTTTGAAAAACGGTTCGGCTTTTTCCGGAATTATATCGCCAAATATTATTTATTCAAATTTATTATTATTTCCTTTTAATTTTGTAAATAAAATACAGTGTGTTGCATACAAGAAACTTTATTTTATATAAGGACATGTAAGAAATATCTATGAACATTGGAAACCGACGTTATGCCACGATCCACGATGGTTTTTGAAGTTCAAAGTTCACAGCACAGCTTTTTAAGTTTTTAATGCCACTTTTTCACAATTATCACGGGTTCGAGTAAATAAAACTTAATTAAACTCACAAGATAGCAATAATTACTTTGAAAATGGATGCTTTAAACACTTTTCGGAATTTTTTCAGTGAGAGCGGTTTAGATTTTGAAAAATTTTATATTTTTTTGAAGATTCGGACTTTGACAAGAGAAAATTATTTTTGTTCTTGTTTGCGGTTGATCTTAGCAACCGCTATAGCAGCGTCAGATTGCGTACAACGGTCGCGTACAACGGTAAATTTGGACGGGCATTCCAATCTAAATTTATTTCCTTTAACTATGGACTTATCAATGGAAATTTCAATTCCATGGAAGGAATAATTAGCTCCTCTTTTTTGAATAGAATCAGCGGATTTATCTTTGATATTCGTATAGTCATGTATATGACATGTATCTATGTCACAGTCACTAGATTCTGACTTGCCAGTTACTCTACCCTACACATTAAGCATGTCTATTTTATATTCAAAAATAATTATGTATTTTTAGATGGTAGACAACTGCCGATCAACAGAAAACAGAAGGTGTTCCCTAATGGTACCCTGATCATCGAAAATGTGGAAAGGGCATCAGACCAAGCCACCTACGTCTGCGTAACTAAGAATTCTCAAGGATACAACGCAAGAGGATCTTTAGAAGTTCAAGTCATGGGTAAGTTGACAGTTTTTTGACATTTAGTTTATTTCAAGGCGCTGTCATTTTATCTCAGGAAATATTTTTTTTTGTTTCTAAGTAGGTATATAAGTAAATTGTAAATTCTTAATGGGCATATTTGTATCACTTGTTGCAAGACAATAAAAAATAATTTAATTTATTAAAATAATAAATTAGAAAAGAAATAATAAGGGTGGACAATAAATCATTTATAAAAAAAATATTTTGTCTGACAAAAAATATTGTTTCAGATTTATTTTATTTGTCTTTTATTTATTATTGCCGTCGAAGGGAAAATTACTTAATAACTATATTTCAGCACTATTAAGCATAATAACCTATTTTACTTGATTTTGTTTGCTACAAATTACAGATATAACAGCAATAAAGAAAATGACAGCGTCTCATTATATTATATTTTCAGGAAATATATTTTATTCGACGACTATAATTTATGGTTATAACGAAATATTAGTGGGTCTTTTGTTCGTTTTTGCGTAATTTGACTTCACAATTTTACAGGATCTTTAAATTTATATTTTTAAGTTTTTAAGGTTCTAGAAATATTACAGGTTATGGCAGACAAATTCGAAAAATTTGTAAAAATTATTTTAAGCCATATTTAGGAAGGTATTTAGAGGAGTTTAATTTTTTTATTTGTTCGCTTTGAGGTTTTAAGCATATGAGGAAGTTAAGTAAAAAGGTAGGATTGATTATAGTGTTACGAAGATAGGGAGAATCACCTATATCCTCCCATTGAACCATTCAGCGTTGATTAACTTCAGAGAATTAAATCCTTTGGAGAGGCCCATGTGTTATTATTATAATGTATATATAGGAATCATTACTTTTAACACTGGTCGCACGTTTCGCTAACCATGATATCGTCATCAGCAGATGATTCTACAAATTGAGCTTTTATATAGGCATTCGATTGGTAAAAAAACTGTTTCACATTTCAATAAATTCAAAATAAGTTGTTCAATTGCCATACAATAATATGGAGTAAGAAATAACTCCAAAAAGAACGTTAAATTCGTTTTTCTCAAAACTATATTTTATGACTTAATATAGTTTGTTTCCGGGGTACAGATAGGATTAATGATATTATTATATCTTTTAGTTTGGTCAACATATTTTTAGTGGCAATATATACTCTCAAATTGTAGATAATAGTTTATTTTTAACTATTTGCTGGATGAAGTATTGTGGCTAATGAATGTACTATTTTGCTATTGTAACACCAAAGGGTTGCAATCTTCAACTATAAATCTACGAATATTTCACCAAAAATACATCTCATTTTTACAGTGGCACCCGTTATAAGTCCCTTCCAATTCGATGGACCCCTAAACGCAGGCGACAGTGCAGTCCTAACTTGTTACGTCCCCAAAGGCGATAAACCCTTAAAAATCAAATGGTACCATAATAAAAGGCACGTCTCACATCATTCTAAAGGCATATCTACTTCTTCTTTCGGTGCCCAAGCCAGTTTACTGAACATACTCAGTGTGGAACCGCATCACAGAGGAGAATACACGTGTCTAGCCACAAATTTAGCAGGAAAATCTAGTTTTTCTGCATTCCTCAACGTTAACGGTAGATCAGGGGTCTACACTGTTTAGTTCTCTGTTCTTTATTTTGTTTTGAAAACCTGAATTTTTCTCCTGAACATTTCTGAGAAAGGTATTTAATGTTTAGCGCGTGCTTTTCAATTAATGGTGCACAAAATATCCTATCCTGAAATATCTTGAGTCAAGAGTTTCTACGCAAAAGTTAATTTTTTTAGTTTAATCATTTTTAATACATTATTATAATATATAATGTATTAAAAACACATTTTTATTGTATTTTATAGAATTTTTTAAATATTCAATTTCTATTAACACTCAGTACAACAAATACTTCGTTCTAGTGTCTCCGCAAATATCCCACTTTACATTTTCCGACGAAGTAGTGAATTCTGGTGAAATGGCCAGTGCCCAGTGTGTAGTGTCTAAAGGAGACTTTCCATTGAACATCACTTGGTTTTTCAATGGAAAACGCACTGATCCATCCATAGGTTTTAGTGTAGGACAGATTAATAAAAGAATCAGCACTATCAGTATTGAAACTGTAGATGCAATACACGCTGGAGAGTACCAGTGTGTAGCTGAGAACATTGCTGGAAAAGATAGTTATTCAACAAGACTTAACGTGAACGGTAGTACTAAATTCTTTATTAAGAACTTTTTTTTATTTGGTCCAAACCTTTTTTACCTACTCCTTTAATTTTTTCTAATGGTGCCACTGAATAATAGCGTATAGTCGCTTTAAAAAATTAACAAATATCTGGTAAACCTTTTTAGTATCTCTTCAAATTTTTCTTCTATATTTGCCAATGAACTGTTGTTGAATTCAAACTGGATCGTTTAGGATAGTGATCTTTCTTCACATTGATCTACTAAGAATTTTTTTGAAAGGTTTTGATGTAAACATTTTTCTTGTAGCCTTAAAGTAAAATGATGTAATGGTTTTAGCCTAAGAGCTGACGACATATTTAGAGAACATATTTTAGGCAAGCTAGAATAATTAAAAATGTATAGTTTATTAACTGGTGAACCCAGAATCCTAAGTCTGGCTGGGGGGTTGGGGGTATTTCGCTACTGCGCAACCCATAACATTTGCAATAAAATAAATCCAAAAAACATTCTTTAGGCAACTGGTAATTTGTTTATTCTTAAATTTTAGCATCTATTTAACCTAGAAATAAGTATGCCAGACTTTTTTTCGGGTTTAAAGTGTAACCCGACCATTCCAAATATGTTTAATTATTATACCTGGAAAACATACTTTAGCCATTCTAAAATTTTTACAGCGTGTTTATTAGATGATATTAAAAAATATGTGTTAATTGCCAGACGAATTCAATGGGATTTAATACTTGCCTGACGCGAATAAAGATTTTAAATGAGCGTGATAAGAAAGTCTTATGAGTATCTATAAGCGCGAGAAAGATGCGGCTGACGTAACAGCATTTTGGAGTCGTAAAAATTAAAAAAAAAACTAACTAATATTGAATAAATAAAAAGAAGCATTTTTTAATAAAAATGTATGATTGAAATCCTTTCAATAAGAAGACTTTATAATTTAAGTATTTTGTATCTCAAAGAATAAAAAGACGAATAATTATTTAAAAATTAGCATAATATAAAGTATATTTTTTTCAAACGTCACAAAAGTATAATTATTATTATACTTTTGTGACATATTATATTATTATTCATTTTTGCGACCTGATTGACAATATAAAAAAGTCATTTTAACGCCTAAGCATAAAAGTAAAGCACTTTTACTTACTTTTGAATCTATTTAGAAAGATTAACAATGGTACTTTAATAAAATTCCAGAACACTTATTTTTTTTAGCACTGTACATGGTACCCTTTTGTCGGGACTACGTTTTCTGCTAAAATCACTTCTTTAAATTTTAAACCATGTTGTTGGCGCACTTTTAAAAATTCTTTGCATTTTTGTAGTCTGCCTTCATCAAAAACAATAACTTTGTCACTAGTAACTTTTTTACAAACTACACAACTTAAATGTTTTTTATCCATTGTGATTTAGTAGTTAGTAGCGAAATTAGTAGTTACTAAAATATTTATTTGCAGTAATTATTCTAAACTATTTACACTATGCACATCAATATTTAATTTATAAATACATATTCGTACATGGTAACTTAATTCCAACAAAATAATCTCTGAATTAGAAGCCAGCAAATAATTGAAATGAAACCGAATAAAAATTGTTTTTATGAAAATTTGAAATAGGTACTCCAAAATACTGTTACGTCAGCCACATCGGCTGCCGACGGGTCTCAATAAACTATCTTTCTCGCGCTTATAGATACATATATAACTTTTTTGTCGCGCTCATTTAAAATATTTATTAGCGTCAGGCAAGTATTAAAACCCATTGAATTCGTCTGGCAATTAACACATATTTTTTAATATCATCTAATAAACACGCTGTAAAAATTTTAGAATGCCTAAAGTATGTTTTCCAGGTATAATAATTAAACATATTTGGAATGGTCGGGTTACACTTTAAACCCGAAAAAAAAGTCTGGCATACTTATTTCTAGGTTAAATAGATGCTAAAATTTAAGAATAAACAAATTTCAAGTTGCCTAAAGAATGTTTTTTGGACTTATTTTTTTGCAAATGTTATGGGTTGCGCAGTAGCGAAATACCCCCAACCCCCCAGCCAGACTTAGGATTCTGGGTTCACAAATTATTAAACTTTATTTTTTTTGTTATTCTATGAATCTCTAAATATGTCGCCAGCTCTCCGGCTATTATTAGTAGATAACATATACTAAAAAATAGTTAAAACATTTCCAAATGGTGCCACTGTAGAATAATCCATATCTTACGCAAATATACCTGATAAATCCTCATTTTTTCTTCTGTAGTTCCTCCCCAAATTTCGCATTTCACCTTTGTCGATGAAGTTGTCAACTCTGGTGATATGGCCTCCACACAGTGTGCTGTGTCCAAAGGTGATTTCCCCATAAATATCACCTGGTTCTTTAACGAAAAGCTTATTTCTAATTTCAATGGAATTGCTGTTAGTCAAACCAATAAAAGAATCAGCTCGTTATCCATAGATGACGTCAACGAAAAACACACAGGAGAATACCTTTGTGTAGCTGAGAACGTTGCTGGAAAAGACAGTTACTCAGCTCATTTAAACGTCAACGGTATTTCAACCTTCAGTATTTTTTTCTTTTTATTTTAGTATTATTTATCCATAACTTTTCCTAAAATTTTATTTTTTTTTCTTAATAATAGTACCTCCTCAAATTACTCACTTCACTTTCGGTGATGAAGTGGTGAATCACGGTGATATGGCTAGTGCTACATGTGCAGTGACCAAGGGAGATTTACCTCTAAAAATTTCTTGGTTTTTCGACAATAAACCTGCAAAAGAACTTCCTGGAGTGGCCGTAGCTCA